TCGGCAAGCCCAACGATTAAAAAAAAAAAAAAAAAGCCAAATAGGAAACGGAGTTTCATCGAAGAAATACTCTGAAGTCGCAAGCATATTCGACGATTATCACATCCATGCATGCGTAGAGAGAGAGCGCATCGAGCAGCACACTTTTGACTCGACACAAGGACACAATTCAAATGCTCGCTGACCAAATGCTTCGGAGGGCATAAACCTTGATAAAAGGACGAACACGAGACATGACACCGAAGCACGGTGCCTCGGCAAGCCCGAAACGATGGGGCTGTTGTACGACCTAACCCCTGGCCTAACTTGGCCCGTCGTACGAACATACCCCAAACCTGAGTTACCGTCAATCAGAGAGCTCGCAATTCACAAAGCCCCTTTTCATGAATTATCAATATTAACAACTACCCTTCAGAAGATCCAACTTCACGTCAATCACCCCTTCAATGCCCGCTCCTCCTAAATCCCTCCTTTCCCCCAAGCCTAACTCGGTCCGTTGGATAAACGTACCCCAAATTTAAACCGAATTACAGTCAATCAGATAGATATCGAACTGGCAATGAAGACTCAGTCCCTTTAAACACCCGCTCCTGAGTCCTAACTCCCTCGTCGCCCCTGGCCTAACACGGCCGGCAGTCTGAACAACCCCAAGAACGGAGCTACATTCAACGAGAGCTCAGAGGGAGTCAGAGAACAAGACATTTGCTCACATCCCCTGGCCTAACAAGGGCGGGAGAATGACCCACGCTCACAGTGGAGATAGGATGGATCAGAGACCGAGAATCATTTCAGGAAAGAGCAGAGTCAGTAGACCTCTCCCGCGGCAAAGCCTTCTTAAAATACAATGGTTTAGGGCCTCGCCACACCACTGTACACACGAAAAGGAAAGGAATGCATCTTCCACATAGACATTGGTACGGTGCATCCGTTGCTATTCATAGTAACGGATGCATCTTGCCATTCTCTGAGGGTAGATGCACTCGTATTTTTTTTAGTTCGACAGCGGTGAGGCGAGGCGCTTACAAGGGTTTTGCCGCGGGGGGGTCTCCTACTTTTCCCAAAAACATTTAGCGAATCCTGGCATACGTCGAAGAGTTAGAACATAAGTAGATCATCAGAATCACATACAGATCCCATCTGATTGCCCCTCTCCACTTTAGTCCTAAGCTTCCGAATTCGGAATACAGAGGTCTTCCCACCAGAGAGTGAAAACAGAAGATCATCAGAATCATGTAATGATATACAGATCCCATCTGATTGCCTCTCCACTTAAGTCCTAAGCTTCCGCATTTAGAAAACAGTGGTCTTCGCTCAGAGGGGATCCACTACTTTCCCTGCATGAAACGCACGTCAGTGGCTCCCCCAAAACTTGTTAAACCAAAATCGCCAGTCAGCACAATCAGGCATTCTCGGGAATTTGAGAAATGGCCTTCTGAACAACAACCCGTCCGACCAAGCGGTGAAGATTTAATGAGCAAGTCAACACAGCGGACAGCTGGACTGCAACAGCGCAATGCATTAACATTAAGACGAACGTGACGAAAAACAAAACCCCTCAGCAGTCGCAACCGTCCGCTGGAGGGTTCTGGCGTCCCCGCTGCGCAGAGTGCTGTCCGGCAGTCGAGGGAACTGTTACCCTCTCCCGCATCCCCTATTTAGGCCTTTGGCTGTCAACTTTACCCCATCCAATGACTGTGATTCCATCTGGTTCTGCACTAGAAAGCGTGGACCATTCAGCCATTGGGGTTGCATATGCCCATAAGCATTTCTCACCCCCTCTTTTTTCCATTTCTCTCCTTTTTTTGCCCATTCGATTCCGTCAGGATTTGAGCTCCTGACCTGCTTACTACCGTCTTCACCCCAGTAGAACGTTAGGATTTGAACTCCTGACCTGCGTTTGGTGCAATGTGCAGTCCAGATGCAGCGATAATGACCCCGGCGTTTTATTCGGATGACGACGGTAGCAGTTTAGAGACGCGCACTACTCAGCTATCTGGGCTGCGGATCCCCTTGGCGTTTGTCATCCACCCTCTTTTGCCCTTTCCCTTTCTTCCCTTGAGGTTAAACGAATGGCGAATCGCGTAATCGGGACAACCTGACCAAATGAAGACCCAATGCACTGTCAGCTCAAAAAAAAAAAAAAAAAAAAAAAAAAGTCGGAAACTAATCATTAACAGTAAAGTGAAATGGATAAGGAGGGACGGACATGAAAAAGGAAACAATCAAGTCAAGGATGGCGAATTCATAAATTGTCGTACTGGATTAATAGGGTTCGCGATAATCAAATTAGTGAGGATGGACGGAGATACCTTTATCATAAACAGAGTCAATTTCACGAGGATGAATTTTGCCGTAGACACCGTCACATTCATAAAGAAGGATGGATAAAAAACGCCGGCAAATTCAAAAGATGGATAAAATCATAAGATGTCCCGTTGCATGAATAGGCAACGCGGCTCGGAGCAAACCAAAGGATCCCTCAGTTTTTAACTTTCAAAGCGCAAAAAAAAAAGGCAAAAAAAAAAAGGAACACTGCAGTTCGAGTCGAGTGGGAATAATCGTTCATGAAAGTCCAATTCATAAAGGATAAATGGACAAACATGGCATGCGCCTTGCGGTGTTAAAGAGGGATCAAATCGATGCTCGTCAGAAACGTGATGATCAAATCGATGCTCGTAAAAAACGCGATGATCAAATCGATGCTCGTAAGAAACGTGCTGAAAAAAAAAAAAGAAAAGAAACGTGATGATCAAATCGATGCTCGTAAGAAACGTGATGATCAAATCGATGCTCGTAAGAAACATGGTGATCGAAGCGGTTCCTGGGAAGAAAAAAAAAAAAAAAAAGCACAAATGTCGACAGTAAGCCATTGCAATTATTGTACTCAAAGTGGCGAAGATCAGCGTTCAAAGTTTAACAAGAGAAGATCAGCGCTCACAATTAAAAAAAAAAAAAAACTTTAAGAAACAAAAAGATAAAACCGCCATTCAATTCACCGAAGTGCGAGGTTGCGCGTAGCGGCAGAAAACAGAGCTCTGGAAGTACTACCGAGTTCGAGAAAGGAGGGGGGGGGGGGGGGGGGGGGGGGGGGGGGGGGGGTGGAGGACGGAGGGACCGAGTTCGTCATTGCGATTAATATGTTGACATCAACTTTATAGAACTTGCGGATGAAAAGGCGTAAAAAAAGAGTGACAGAAACCGGAGACGACCGCGATCGACTCGCAAAGCAAGTAAGTCAAAACTTCCGTCTTTTTACCCGCATAGACCGACTGCCCGGTCATTAATGCTGTCTTTGGCGCAACTTTCAGCCTAGATGCAAGAACAATGACCAGGAGTTCTATTCGGGTGAAGACGGTAATCTCATCCCAGATAGGGCGGAGGGAGAGAGGGAGGGGGGGTGGGGGAGGGGGGGGGTGGCAATAAGGATATTGATTCCGATGCTTGGAAGCCACTGTGTGACACTGTGTGGGACTGTGGGGCACAGTGTCCCAAGGTCCGCATGCTTGGAATCAGGAGAACTCCGAGCGAAAGTGTACAAACAGATGGGTCGAGAATAGTTTCTGGCATTTCTCCTGGTTTGACAATTTCATGCGAGCGATACGGTTAGTTTCTGACGTTCCTACTCAGTGCACACTCTGGCCGTAATTGCGGTCAGATGCATCCAGGAAGATGCCCTCGTGAGACGATCCGCTTGTCGATCGACACACAAAATTGTCACTGGCATGGCTTTCATCGCAATTACCGCCAGATTGTCTTAAAAAAATTCCCGGTGTGAGCAAAGTATACGCTAAGCAAAGCGTCGGTCAGAAACTTACCGTATCCACCGAAAGAACAGTCAGTTCTAAAACGGTCAAAGTCATAGAGGACCAGCCCGATGTCAGTGGGATGCATTATATAGCAATTACAGCCATATTCTCTTAAACAAAAACCGGTGGGAATACACGCTAAGCTAAACCACAGTCAGAAACGTACCTTATCAGCGGATGGAACGGTCAATTCGAGAACGCCAAAAGTCATAGATGACCATCCTGACTTCCGTGCGATGCATTTGATCGCAATCACGGCCAGATTCCCTTCAAAACTCCCGGTGTAAGTGTACTCTAAGCAGAACCACGGCAGAAAATTACGGTGTCGGCAAAAAAGCAGTCAGTTGTAAAACGCCAAAAGTCAAAGATAAACACCCTGACGTCAGTGCGATGCATTTGATCGCAATTCCGGCCAGATTCTCTTCAAAAACTCCCGGTGTGACTCTTCAAAAACTCCCGGTGTGAGTGTTCTCTAAGCGGAACCACGTCAAACCACGTCAGAAACTTTCCGCATCAGCAAAAAAACACTTAGTTCTAAAACGGCAAAAGTTGAAGATGACCAGACTGACGTCAGGACTTCCACGCTAAGGGTCGGGTTGTCAGAAGCAGCTCAGAAGTTAACAGACCGTCAACGTTTTTCAACCTAGCTGAACTTACCTCTAAGTCGTTGAGTTGGCATCATGAGCCTGTGTTTGAAGGGCTGAAGGGAACCAGAATGGATTCGAACTCCGTTTCCATTAGTAGCTAGCCAGGTCAGCGCCACGTGTCCGCAAACGCGCGATCCTCAGCGCTACAGCAACAAGGTTCGCATTTAAATCTTCGGATTGAGGTGCCAGGTCAGAGCTCGAATGAGTCGAATCTCACCACCATCTTGCACTCAAGACGTCCAAGTCCAACGAATCCCCGACCATGCAAACGAAAATCTCAGAATGCGCTCGCGGTGTTGCCACGTCGCGGACGACTTCAAAAATTACTGATCCCTTCGCCAGGTACGAGCTCAAATAACACGCAATGAGCCTTCAACGCAACCATCTCGAAACTATGGTCGAGAATCCAAAGCACCAGTTCAACTTACGCAACGTCAGCCAAGCCGGATTGGTCGATTCAGGTTCTGCAACGAACTGCCGTACGTCGCAACGTCAGCGCCGTCAACTTCACCCACGCCTTACTAATTACTCCCGAGATTAATCAATCGAGATTCTTGGAACGAGTGCCAAACGTCGCAACGTCAGCGCGTCACTCCCAGAAACTGCCGAGGTCGCAGATGCCTCACAAACCGCATGCATGTGTTAAGAGGAACTAATTGAGTTGCTGGGTGATGCGAATGCCCATCACAGGGCCGCGATCCCCTGCACGCATGGCATAGCACTTGACGTTGAGCCCGGCATTCTCCTGAAGGTTCGTACAGACGGCGGCTGCGAACGAGGACACCCTCCCACGAGGTTGCCAATCTCCTTCCGGACCTGCCCATGACTTCAAGTTAAGCATTTCTTTGCTGCACCTCGTGGTGGGTTGATTGAACTCCTCCGCGTCGAAAATCGCCGCCACCGCTGCGGGGACGTCGTCGGTGCTGTTTCTCGATGACAGCTCCTGGTAACTCCATTTCTTGTTGACGGCCTCATCATGAAGAAACAGCTCGGAATGCCATGCGTCCAAAGCTTGCATAGTTCCTTCGCAGGTGGGCGAGTCGCAGAGAGGACAGCGCAGCAGGTGCATGTCTGCTATCCAACTTCCTTGTCGCACGTTCCCAATCGCCTGCGAAAACCCGTCCTCTCTCGAAACACCATAGGCATCAACTTCCGAGGAAGAGGAAGGGGAAGAAGAGGAGGAAGGAGCAGAAGAGGAAGAGGTGAAGGCCGGCGGAGAGGAAGGTGGATCCGAACGGCTGGCCTTCGCTGAGTTCACTGGCCCGTCTTCACAATGACCTTGCTTTCCCTTGTTGTCCGCTCGAAGAGTGTCCGTCGCAATGACCATCCCAGAGCGTACCTCGAAAACGCCGAGCCTCATCCAATCCAGATGCTTATCCTGCTGCTGATACTTGAACGAATGCCTCCCATCAGTGACGGACCGGAAGAGAGCGCGCCAGCTTAAACTGGGCTTCGACAGCCCTCCAGGAATGACGATACCCAGCTGCCGCTCGCACACACACCGCCAAACCTCTTCCTCCATAGCCAGCAAGTGGAACTCACGATTGAGCATGGCCACCGTGACAACTTCCTTGGCTTTCAAGAAACTGATGATGCTCAGCCAAACGTCAGAGTTCACCCGCTGGTTCTCGGCGTCACACTGTCTCAATGCCGAAGCATCAGCCTCTCCCTTGACAGTGTCTGCTGTGAGTTGTCTTTTGCCGTGCGCATCTCCCTGCGACTCTCCTCCTTCTGCGTACGCGTCCGATGTTCGTCTTCTTTTCGAAATCTGCTTGTCCCCCGCTTTGTTGGATGGGCGGCAAACCTGCGGCTGCTTGCAGCTGCCGTCAGGTGTGCACTCATTCGATGTACTTCCCGTCACATCATCGCTAGGTTTCCCCATCGTTTTCACCGGAATTTCCGGAGAACCTAGGGACTCGTCTCGGCTTCGAGCAATCGCTGACAGACGCCTTGCAGCTCTGACCCTAGCGATAGTTGAGGAATCGGTAGAGCTGCTGCACGGGCTTCTCTTCACAGATGCTGGAAGCGAAGGAGATGAAGAAGCCCAGCCCGGGGAGGAAGTGCAAGATAACCTTGCTGCATCGTCAGCACGGGTTACTCGAGACGAAGAAGAAGAAGAAGAAAAAGAAGGAGAAGAAGAAAAAGACGAGCAGCAGCGCGGAGATCGAGGAGTTAATGGCGACATGATGACTCGAAGGCAGTAGGTTAGCGGGAAAGAAAGATCACCCTACAGACGTGAACTGGCTCTCGTAGGAATCGTCTCTACCAGTCCAAAATTCTCGCTATAACTTCGGTCTGTAGACTGAACGCAGCTTTCAGTACGCACACAACACTTCCAGCAAATCTCCAGAGAGTTTCCTCCCTGGATGTTGGATCGGGAGCTCTCTCCTCGAGGGACCACGGGGGGTATCTCGAAGGCGGATGTGCTTTCTCCCGTACAGACTTGCACGGGGCTAAGTCTTATTAGATTTTCAGCCTCCAAATCGCCGAGACTCTCTCAACAAGTGCACCTCATTCCAAGTCGTCGTAACTTTCACATGCCAGCGCTGCTGCAAACGTAAATGGACGATTGCAAAGCCCACCCAGACAGAGAATGGGCCGATTGAACGCTCGAGAGCCAACGGAGGTAGCGGCGAAAGTGTCTTTCGATTTGATGTCAATCGCGGAGAAAGCGGCTATCCATCGCCAGTGTCGCAGCAGCAGCATTCACTACACAACTGCTCTTCTACATTCGAGTCAACTCTATAGCAGCTCACAGAGCTAACCCTTAAACGCTACGTTAAAATGACAGCCTGAAGGCACAGAGTTTATAAATAGCGATAAATATGACATCTCTCCGCATAACTCAAGCACAATGCCGTAACGGAGAGCAGGGCAAGTAAGCTGCGGTCATTCGATGCTCGTTCCGAGTGGTGAGCACGACTCTAAGGGGACGAAGAGCGTACTCTTGACACGAGATCGAATTGGTCTATTTATACCGACAGCGAGTCGAAGGCAGAGCATAGGACAGACTGGAAATGACGAGGTGAAGACCACCGTGCCTGTGCGACCGCCTCTGGTGAGTTCTAATCTGGCCGTCACCCGCCTTCATCACTCCTCTACCCGCCGAAGACAACACGGCGCGCGCCGCGCGGGAAGACAGCTACCTGTTGCTTCAGTTCGATTCAGAAAACATGTAAGAATATCACCCCGCTCAAAAAAAAAAAAAAAAAAAAAAAAAAAAAAAAAAAAACCCCCCCCAAAAAAAAAAAAAAAAAAAAAAAAAAAAAAGAATATCACCCTGCTCCCGCCGAAAATTCGAAAATTCGGCCTCAGAAAACATGTAAGAATATCACCCTGCTCCCGCCGAAAATTCGAAAATTCGGCCTCAGAAAACATGTAAGAATATCACCCCGCTCAAAAACAAAAAAAAACAAAAAAAAAAAAGAATATCACCCTGCTCCCGCCGAAAATTCGAAAATTCGGCCGCAGAGAAATTCCCGCCCACTCTTCGTGTGTTCACATACCACTCGTCCCCAGGCGCTGCAAACAACCCGCCATCTCGGACTTCCGGGCGATATCCTTACGCTACCGTCTTCCCCGAGTATAGCGTACCCCGATAATGAACGTATACGACCGGTTTTTCCGGTCCGGTACAGCCATAACGGGGGTGCGTTGTGCTCGGGGGACGCACTTGTTCGTCAACTACCGGGGAAGGTAACCGTATCTTTTGTCAGATTGCTGTCGTAGACATCCTAGTGTGATCCGACCCTGGAGAATAGCACGATAGGAGGGACAAGGAGCTACTGCCGCTCAAAGCCTATCCTTCAATCCATAGCTAATTAATCCATAAACTCGTTCTGTCCTATGTCCTACACCCCGATACAAATACGGAAGGGGTTAGCATCCCTTTTTTTTTTTTCTTTTCCCAAGTCCAGGGTGTTGTAGAGGCCAGTCAGTGTGTGCACAGTGATCACCTGGAACTGTGCGCCGTGGGTGTCCTGGAATATGAGACCACCTCCCAACCCATCCTCACGTCAATGTTCCTAGCGCACCCCCTATCCCACTATTCTATCTCAGTGTGACCAGCACTCAGGACCATTGCCCTACGGACGGGCAGGCAACTTGGACCGGACAGCGGTGATAGGCACCAGGGCTGATAGTTTGCCCAGCCCTGGTGGAAGTGGAATGGGATGAACCTTGTAGGGAACTTCGGCGGGAACTTCGGACTGCAGGCCCAGACAATGAACTACAGGCCCCATATATATATAGCCACCAGACAGTTCTATCCGAATGCAGGTAGGAACTGCACCCAATGGCACCCTATCCAGCCTACCTGAACCTACTGCAGGCACTAGACCCCACCAGTGACTAGCTTGTGACGTACTAGCTTCCGGACCTGCGCCATCTTTCGGACCCCTTCCTTTTTCCCGTGTCTTCCCTGCATCCAGATGTGTACAGTTCGATCCCGAACCCCCCCCCCCCCCCCCCCCCCCCCCCCCCCCCCCCCCCCCCCCCCCCCCCCCCCCCCCCCCCCCC